AGACGTTTCTGGATGCCCAGGGTCCCCTCAAGAAACCGGGCTCTGCGCTGCAAGGGCTGCTGCAGGACTTGGGCACCTTGCGCAAACGCGGATGCCGTCGCGGCCCACGCCGTCAAGGTGAACGTCTTCCACACCATGAACTTTCTGCTGCGCTTCAGTGAGTCCATCCGTGAGGCTGTGAGAAGCGGTCAGATTGAGATCCACGGTGGCATCTATGATTTGGAGACAGGCAGTGTGGAATTCTTGGGGAAGAGCCCGCAGCAGACCCAGCTGCTGGAGTCCAGCATGCCTGTCCCACCTTCCATGTCAGGCGGCGCAGCAGCCGACCACGGCGTGCACGGGGTCCGTACCGGTGCCGACTTTGTAGTGAAGCCCGAGGCGGCACTGAAGCTGCTGCAGCAGGGCAACGAGCGCTTTGCTGCAGGCGCGCCCACAGCAGCGACTACCTCCAGGGACATGCGCCAGGCCTTGGTGAAGTGCGGCCAGGCGCCCCACAGCGCCATCCTTGGCTGTGCGGACTCGCGAGTGCCCGTCGACACCGTCTTCGACGCGATGCCCGGAGACCTCTTCGTGCTCCGCAACGCTGGCAACACCTGCACTCACGCAGCTCGGTGATCCAGGTAGCTGTGACTAGACTGGGCATGACATAGTTTTAGAAGTACGCGCGCGCTATGGCAAATTTCCCATTGTTGCTGAGGCAGAAGGGAGCATTGTTGGCAGCTTGGAGTTCTGCGCCGGCAAGTTGGGCGCCCAGCTGGTCCTGGTGCTGGGGCACACGCAGTGTGGCGCCGGCCGGAGCTACGAAGACTTTCCAGGCCGGAGAGTGCAGGGCTTGGCTGGAGTGGCGCAGCAAGCCAGCGAGGACTTGGGCCAAGGGGGTCGAGGAGGCCAAGCTCATCGCTCATGCGGTGAAGGTGAACGTCTTCCACTCCATCCTCCTGAAGTTCTCTGTGCCACTGCGCGACCTGGTGCGCAAAGGGAACCTGCAGATCCAGGGCGGCATCTATCACCTCGACACGGGCCGAGTGGAGTTCTTGGGCCGCTCGCCTCAGCAAGCCGAGCTGCTGTCCTCCAAGCGCTCCGTGCCGCCGTCCATCCAGTGCGGCCCAGTCCGAACCGCCCAGAGCGAGCCAGTGATGCCACAGGATGCCCTGGCCATGCTGAAGGATGGCAATGAGCGCTTCGCAGTGGGTGCCCCCACAGCTGGCAAGGTCCACCAGACCATGCGTGCAATTTGAACAAGATGGCCAGGCTCCCCACACTGCTCTCTTCCTGGGGACCTCTTTGTCCTGCGCAACGCTGGGAACACCTGCACGCATGCCGAGGGCAGCGTGCTTGGCAGCCTGTGCACCGGTGCGCTGAACACCCGGCTCAGCCTGCAGTGTCATCAAGGGCGTAACCAGGCCTTCGTCGCGTCCAAGAAGTCCGGTGGGGCCAAGAAGGACGGCCGCGCGAGCTACTAGCTGCGTATGGCGAAGCTCTTGAGAATGCGAAACCTTGTCGTTGTGGAAGGGTCCTTGTGTTGTTCCTTGCACTTCCCCAGGACGGCCATGCGCTGGACTCACTGCTACGAGGCCTGAGCTCGGTCGAAGAGACCGCGGCCTCGATTGGGGAGCAAGGCTGTGAAGCTGCTTTTTTCCATCGCAGACGCCAGTTCGTCAGACCCAACTTGCGCAGGCCACTGAGGACAGCATTGCCCAGCACGCGGTGAAGGTGAACGTGTTCCACACTATCAACTTCATGCTGCAGCACCCTGCTCAGGGGATGCAGATTGATGCAGCGCAGTAGATGGAATGGCAAGGGGCGCCAGCGGCAAACGGGTAAGATGGATCAGCA